TTGGTGAATTCTGGTACAAGCTAAGACAATTTTTTACATCCCACTACACTAGGAGTAGAAAGAGACCTCAGTAACTTGGTAAAGACATTAGCATCAAAACACCTACAGAACAGTGGAGCAGTGGAGGTGTTTGGCTTAACCAGGAACAAGCAAAGACACCGTCATTTCCCCCTCCCTCGGATGTTCTGAATCAGGGCATCCAACTTCAGGGCTCCCTTACCTCCCTAGGCCTCAAAGGATTTTCCTTACTTGCTTGTAAGCTCCTCCATTCATTCAAAAGGATTTAAAAAATATTTATCTAGCATTCTTAGATGTTTTGTCATGAATTTAGAGTGTCCTAGTAAAATGTTAAAGGCATAAACCTATGACCTGGCAATTCCACTTCTGATAATCTATCCTGTAGACATGTTGATACATGACCATCCCTTACAGCATTAATCTGTACTAGAAAAAAATTGAAGAAAACTTAAATTTCCATAGATAAATAGGTAAATTATGAAATGTCTGTAATATGGATACTTGATAGCTATTAAAAACAGAGACAGATTTGTACCTTCTAATATGAAAGAATGTCAGTCGACAATGTCTCAAGTTAATAAATCAAGAGACTGTCACAGGCAATGTATTTAGATACTGATGAGTACAAAATTAAAATAATAAAACATATATAGTATGATTCCATTTTTATTTTTGAAATATATTTTTGGTACAAAGTCAGTATGTACATATAAAAAGGTTTGGAAGGATACACAGGAAAGTGTTAACAGCACTTATTTCTAGGAAATGCAAGTGGGGATGAAGGAGACTTTTATCTTTCACTTTGTACATTTCTACATTGTATGAATTTTTCACAATGAACATGAATTTATTTTGGAAAAATATAAAGGTTTTTACTCTCAGAGATAGGAGAAAAATAAGATGTACATGTCAAAATAAAGAACTTTTTAAAAAGAAGTACAATTGGCCCAGAACAAGAAAGAGGATGGATCCACTTCAGATGGTCCCATCTAACATGTGTCCAGAGGGAGAGAACAGACTGGAAATCATGTCCAGGAATTATTGAAGGCCTCAAGATGTTTAGATTGAAGAAGGCAAGACTTAGAGAAGATCTGAGGGCTTTCCTCAAATATTTAAGGACTGTAATGTAACACGTGGTTCTGGAGGAAAATGGGCTGGAATTATAGAGAGTCAGATTTTTATCTAGGGTAAGAAGGAACTTCCTAAGAGTCCAAGTTGTCATTTTAAAGCAGCTTTACCCCCTGACTCTACTGCAGACCATCTGCTGGTACTTGTTCCAGCTCTCGCTCTCAAACCAAGTCATTCCTCATGCCAGGTCTCTCATGCCAACCCCTTCACTCTGGCTCCTACTCTGTGTTCCACCTGCCCTTTGGAGCTGACGTTCCAGAACTTCTCTCTTCTTGCCCACTGGCCCATCTCTGCCCAGTGCTAGGGTTTGAACCAGCCCTTCCTACTCCTATGCCTAGTCCTTGTACCCAAAGGCCCTCCCTTTCCTCCCACCCAGGAAGAGAAATCAGATGCTTACCAACCATGGGGCTGGATGTTTAAGAAGGTAGTGTGTTCCTTGTTTGGGATTCTTTGCTTACAGGTAAGAAAATCTGCCTCTGGCCAACTTGAGCAAAAACTGGAAGCACATTGGTTAGCTGGGAAGTCTGAAAATCAGTCCAGGGACCAGGAGAAGAATCAAGGCAGTTGCAACCCTCAAACTATTTCTTAAAGTTGACATCTCTGGAATGGGTGAACCTCCACATGCATTGAGTCTATATTTTTCCCCACTCAAGACTCAGAACCCCAGGAGCAGAAGTTCTGATTGACTAGGCTTATTCTGTGTGTTCTGGCTCTAACTGGGTGGGTGAGAGGAAGCTCTGGATGCAGAGCCTATGAAGGCCTCTGAGGACCCCTCCTGTGGCCCTTGTCAGGGAGCAAGACATTTGATTTAAAGGCCCCTCAAGCCTGAATGCAGTGGAGGGCAGGTATACTCCCCCAAACACACAAGAATCAGGGCTGTGAGGAAAGGAGAATGGATACTGGACAGCCGAAAGAACAACTCTTGGACAAACGTGGGACTAGATTAGTGGATCCTAGATCCACTTTGGACTTTTCCAGACTTTGAAAAACTTTTTTTTTATTAAATAAGTTTATTTTTTAAAAATGACTGCTAACTGGCATCACCATCATTTCATAAAAGAAAAGTCATTAATATAAAAAAGTGGAAAAGACAGCCTCAGAATAAAGGAGAGTCTTTGAAGTGAATAAATTTACTTTATGTCAGATTTATGACAGTGTATTTTTCCTTGTTTCCCTCATTTCACTGGAGACCAGTCAACACAGACTGGCCTCCATTTGGAGATGGGGTTTTAGGAATCATTGGATTCAGTGATCTATAGGTTCCCTACTAACCCCAAGTTTCTGTGATTCCAGTGGGATCTTGCTATAGAATGGTGGTTCTCAGCTGGGGGCGATTTTGCCCCCTAGGAGACATTTGGTCATGTCTGGAGACATTTCTGGCCATCACAGCTGGAGGGTGGGGGAGGAGTACTACCAGCATCTAGCAAATAGAAACCAGGGATGCTGCTCATCATCCTACAATGCCAAGGACAGCCCCCTACAACAAAGAATTATCTGGCCCAAAATGTCCAAGTGCCGAGGTTGAGGGACCCTGCTATGGATAGAAGAAATCTCATTAAGCAGTTAAAATGGGGAGGATTAGAGAATACTGTGGTTAGATGCTCTCGCAGCCTTTATGCGTGAAACAGAATTTTTGTTTGGTTAAATTATAATCACTTCTTCCAAATAAAATGCATTGTTTTTTAAAATACAAAAGTAGTACATAATCATTATTGATACTTTTGGGAAAAGGCAGAGGAATATAAGGAAGGAAAACAAATCACTCTCGGCCCAAGCCTGTTCTCTTTCCTGATCAACTTCCTCTTGGTTGTCTGTTAGCATCTCAAATATAGCAGGTCCAAAACAGACCATTTGACTTTCCCGCCCTGCTAATGTGTTCCTTCCCAGCTCTTCCTACCTGAGAACTAACACCTAAACCATTGGAGTCATCCTTGACTCCTCTCTTTCTCATACCCACATCAAGTTCATCAGCAAACTCTGCCAATTCTGCTTTCATCATATATTGCAAGTTTGATCGCTTCTCACCCCTCTGCCAACTACCCAGTCCCAGCCCCATCAGCTCCCCCAGCCACTGCAGAGGCCTCCTAACTGCTCCCACCCACTGCAGTCATTTCTCTACACATCAGTAGAAGGATCTGTAGCAAAACTTAATCAGATTATGTTGTACCTCGCCTCAAAACCTTCCAGTGGTTTCTATCACACTTAGAAAATATCCTAACTCCTTATCGAGCCCCTGCTGCCCCTTCAGCTTTGCCATTTATTCTCTGCCGGAGCCACGCAAGCCTTGTTCCTGTCCCTTGGCCAAGCCGAGCTCTTGTCTGCCTCAGGGTCTTGCACTTGCTGTCGCTTTGCCTGGGACATCACACAGATCTTCCTCCCACCATTCTGGATCTGCCAGGACCGTTTCTTCTCAGAGCAGCCCTCCCCGACCCCACCTTGGAAAAGAGGCCTCTCCTCCCCAGTCTCCCATCCCACAACCCTCCACCCCTTGCCCTGCTTGGTTCTCATGGAAGCACTTATTATTCCATAATATCAGGTTCATCTTTTATGTGTTGATTTGTTTCTTATTTTTCTCTCCACTATAATGCAAGCTCCACGAGGGCTGGAATTTGTCTTGTTCTTGGCTGAATCTCCAGTGCCTAGAACAGTGTGTATACCTCCTAGTCACCCAATAAACATTTGCTGAATGAATTGTTAACATTTTGGTAACTGTGCTTCCAGTCTCTCATCTTTTTTTTTTTTTTTTTTACTGATTTATCTCATATAATTGTATTTATTTCAAATAAAGTATATATTATCTACCCAATTTTATATCTTGATTTTTTTAATCTACTGGGTTTTTTTTTTCAGTCTGTAACAGAAAAGCTGCTTTATTTTAGGATGCAAGAGACTAGGGAAGAATAGAGAACTTCACTGAGAGTACATGTTCTCTACAGTTTAAGTGAGATCCAAGTATGACCTGGAATTTCTGTTTGGATCTCGTTTCTTTAAATGAGATGCTGATCCAAGTATCCAAGTCTTGGCCATTATAGGTTAAAATTTCAATACATAACATTTTAAAGCTTAAGAAACAGAGTATTTTTTATTGGCTACAGGCATCAGCAACAGAAAGATTTGAAATGTGGGCATTTTTTTTTTGAGTACTTTAGACAAATTTTATTTTGTTTATTTATTTAATTTTTTTTATTGAGGTAACATTATACAAATTTCAGGTGTACATCATTATATTTCAACTTCTGTGTAGATTACATCATGTTCACCACCCAAAGACTAATTACAATCCGTCACCACACAGGTGTGCTTAATCATCCCTTTTGCCCTCCTCCCTCCACCCTTCCCCTCTGGTAACCACCAATCCAATCTCTGTCTCTATGTGTGTGTTTGTGGTTGTTTTTATCTTCTATTTATGAGTGAGATCATACGGTATTTGAGTTTCTTCCTCTGACTTATTTCGCTTAGCGGAATACCCTCAAGGTCCATCCATGTTGTCAAAATGGCAAGATTTCATGTTTTTTTATGGCTGAGTAGTTTAATCTACTATTATATCTGAAACAATACTTTAGTACCAACTCTTTACAAACATTTTAATAGTGGCATACTATTCCTTTGGGTAGAGATATCAATATTTTCTCCTTGAACATTTAGGTTATCCTAATCTTTTGCTATAGTAAATATTTCAGCACTAAACATATTAGTGCCTAAATCTTTTTTCTTTATTTGGGGTAATTTCCTTAGGATAGCATCCTAAAACTGGACTTACTAGATCAAGGGACATGAGTGCCTTTACATTTCTTAATACATGCTGTAAAAGTGACAGTATCCTTTATTTTTTTCTCTCTCCCTTTCCCACTCAGTCTTACCCTGCCTGCAAAAACCCTGAGCTGACTTCAAACCTCTTCAACGTTTATGGGAAGAGCCCTCTGATTGTGTACTTCCTCCACAACCACGCCGCTCTGCAGCAGCACGGCGAAGACGTGTTGATAGTCAGGAGGGAAAAAACCAAGGCCATGCCATATCCTTTCCATCATGGGCAGGGCACATATTACTCCAGGCCCCTGCTTCCTCTTCCCGGAAGCATGGGTGGGGGAAGGCATCCAGCCTGTAGCACAGCACCTGGCACATAGTAGGTGTCTGTCAAGGGTGGCCATTGATTTGAGCCTAGGGGTCAGAATCTTGCTCATTTTAGTCCTAAGTCTGCCTCATGAGCTGGCTGTGTGGGCCCCTGGGCAAGTCAAATTGCCCTGTGTGCAAAATCTCTTCCTATCTACCAGACTGAACGGGCTAATCAGGTACTCTAACACACTTTGCAACTCGACAATGCCTCCCAGATGCTCCTTGACCCCGGAGTATCTATCGATCAGGAATTTTGGTGTCTAGGTGTGTGTTTCTTCTAACTCCCCCTCACACACACCCCACTCCCCGACCCATCAGCAAACTCCTGGGCCCATTGGCATTTATCCTAAAGACTTGGTAAAAGCTCAGATCTTAAGAAAACAGATATGACATATATTGGTGTCCTGAGTCTTAGCAGTTAACCATAGGGGTCAGAACATGGAATCAAATAGACCTGGACTCAGGAACCAGCTCCGCTACTTACCAGCTGAGTGATCTTAGACAAGTTCCAGCTTCGCTCTGAGCCTCATTTTTTTCATCTATAAAATGGGGATAACAGTACCTGCCTCATAGGGCTGTTATGCAGAGTCCAGGCACAATACAGGTAGAGGCTTAGCACAGTGTCTGGCAGGTAGCAAGTGCTTGAATGTTACCTGTCTGCGTATAGCTCCCCTTTGGGAAGAGCTTTCGTAATGAACTAGGCAGGACTTCTAACTCCTGCCCTATAGGGCATTGTATCCATGAGCTTATTTATATGTCTACAGGCAGAGAAGAACAACTCACATTTCATAGTGCTTTACTGTTTATCAAATGCTTTCCCTTATTCCACCTCATTGTTATGTAAAGACAGCGCAGTGTGGTAGAAGGAGCCAGGGCTGGGGATACACAGCCCTGGATTTGAGTCCCAGCTCAGCAGCCCAGTGGCCTTAAGACCTCACATGCACAGCTAACCTCTGAGCTCAATACCTTTATCAACTGATTCCTAAAGTAAGGATAGCTATACCAAACCAATAGTGTTGTGACCAGGATTAAATGGCATACAGCTGGTTCTAAATAAATACTAACTATCATTATTACTATTAACATCATCTAGATAGAGATTATTATCTCTTTTATAGATAAGGAAATACAGACCTGGAGGATGGCATAGCTTGTCTGAGGTCCCACAACTCGTGACGAGTATAGCTGAGATTCTGACAGATCCAGAAGGCATGGAGAGGGTGGGAGAGGCAGAGAGAATTTTCCATATGCAAACTGAGATAGGGAATGAGGCCTTGGGTCTGAGGGGAGAGGAAAGCAGGAGCCCATTCCTATTCACCACTGTGATAATAGAGTAAGAATTTTAGAGGACAGTCTAAAAGCATTTCCTAGCCCTTCCGTCAGCAGGAGAGAATGACTTTATTAAAAGATGAGGCAGGGCCCGGCCACAGAGAGAAGAGCCTCTTTCCAAAGGAGGCCATGTCAGCGGAAGGAGTCCTTTCTGCTCAGATCTCAGTTATCTCGCCCAGAAACGTAGGTGATTGTCCCATTCTGCCATCTCACTCTCCCGCCTCCCCACGCACCAGGCGCATCCCACTAATAACGCTGAGTCAACACCGACCACCAGTGTGGGGTTTGCCTTGACACTGAAAGCCACCGAGTGCAGCCTGACGTATGCCGACATCATCAGCCTGACCCTGAGCAACATGAAGAAGCGCAGGGACAACCTCCGCCAGTTGAACCGGCTCCACCGGACTGAGTGGAAGTATTTTGATGAGTACCTAAAGGAACTGCAGGACAACTTCCTCAGGTATTTCAGGGGCTTTAGGGCAGTGGCATTGCTTCGGCATTGTCTGCTGTAGCACATCGCAATAATCTTTTTTCTGTTGTTTTAAAAATTATTGAAGTCATATTGGCTTATAACATTGTGTAATTTCAGGTGTACATTATTATATATCAGTTTCTGTGTAGACTGCATCGTGCTCACCCCCAACAGTCTAATTTTTATCTGTCACCATACACATGTGCCCCTTTACCGGCTTTGCCCTCTCCCCACTCCCTTGCCCTCTGGTAACCACTAATCTGTTCTCCTTATCCCTGTGTGTGTTTATCTTCCACGTATGAGTGAAATCGTACTGTGTTTGTCTATCTCTGTCTGGCTCATTTTTCTTGGCACAATACCCTCAAGGTCCATCCAGGTTGTCGCCAATATACTACTCAGCAGTAAAAAAAGACAATAATTTTAATTTTTGGCCCTGTAACAGTCTTAAACACATTCAGCTTTCTTGTGATCAGAATGTAAACTCCGCAATGACAGAGACCACATCTTTTTTAAAAAGTTATTTTTTCTAACTACAAAAACATTTATGCTCAGTAAAACAAAACAAAACAAAACCTGGAAAAGCACCTAGAGGTATACATTGCCAACATTTTTCTATAAATCCTTCCAGTCTTTTTTCCTGGGCACATATATCTGTATCTCTAAACAAAAGTAGTCAAGTCACACTGTCAAACTGTTTTTTAGACTTTTTTTCCCCATTTAGCAGCATATTATGAATATTTTTCTGTGCCTTCTCCCTTTTTCAATATTTTAATTTTATTTAGAAAATTTTCAGACCTTTCAGAAGAGTTTAAAGCATGGTACAGTTTAACGTTTAAAGGATATGCCCTGGGCCGGCCCCGTGGCTTAGCGGTTAAGTGCGCGTGCTCTGCTGCTGGCGGCCCGGGTTTGGACCCCGGGCGCGCACCAATGCACCGCTTCTCCGGCCATGCTGAGGCCGCGTCCCACATACAGCAACTAGAGGGATGTGCAGCTATGACATACAACTATCTACTGGGGCTTTGGGGGAAAAATAAATAAATAAAATTATAAAAAAAATAAAGGATATGCCCTTACCGCATTTGCCAATTATTCACATTTTACACATTTTCCTTCTTTCTCTAATAAATAGGTCTCATTCAAATTTACACAATGGTGTCCAAAGTATCTTTTTTGGTTTTACTTGCTGCTCCAGGATCCAATCAGGGATCAGAAATTATATTTTGTTCTTATCTCTGGTGTCTTTTAATCTATAACAGTGCCCTGCCCCTCACCCTTATTATTATTATTATTATTATTTTTTTTTTTTTTTTTATGACATGGGCTTTTTGAAAAGCTCAAGCCACATTCTGGATTTTTCTGATTATTTCTTCCAGGTATCATTTAACTTGTTCCAATATATCCTATATTTCTTATAAGCTGGACATTGTGTCTATACTAGAGGCTCGATTAGATTCAGGTTAAATCTTTTCACCAAAAATACTTCATAGATGATGTTGTGTATTCACATTGCACCCCATCAGGAGACACTTAATGTCAGGTTGCCCTGCTACTTGATTAAGGTGGTTCCTGCTAGATCTCTCCATTGTAAGACTACATTTTTGCCTTTCTAATGAGTCAGTAATAAGTGATGTGATCCTTTGAGACTATGTGAATATGCTTCCCCAAGACCTTCACCCAGTGGTTTTAGCATCCATTGATGCGCTTTGCCTGAATCAATTATTACATTTAGAGTTGAAAAATGGTGATCTTCTACTACTACCATTACTTCTACATTTATTAGCTGGCATTTTTCTGTAAAGAAGAGCTAACCTGCTTTTTTCACTCTTTGTCTCTCTCTCCTGTCTTCTCTGCCTGCCCCATAACTCATTCATATGGCCACCCTGGCTGCAAGGGAAGCTTGAGAAGTGTCTGAGAAAGGGCAGTGAGATTTTCATGACCGGACTGATCCAAAACAAAATTGGATTCAGTTTGCAAGGGAGAAAGTGGGGAGTTGCTATTGGCTAGACAGCTCTCCGTATCAGCCATAATATGAGAAAGAAAAATATGAACACAGGTAAATACTTTGTTATACAAAGTGATACAATCAAGTTATTTCTAAAATATTATGGGACATTGACAAACAACACACCCACACACAAAACCTGTTCACCACCACCACCACGGGAATGCAGTCCAGCCTAAATGTTCATCAAAAGATGATTGGTTAAATAAACTATCATACGTCCACATACTCTGCAGCCAAGAAAAATGGTGATGTCGATCTGTTCTTATTTTATAAGGAAAGATGGTCACAACGTACTATTGGGCCAAAAAAATCAGGTTATAAAATAGTGTGTATAAATAGACACTGTAATTTGTCCCCATTTTACAGATGTGGAAGCTGAGGTCAAGGACAGCTTGTGGGGACAGCTATCTGGGGGAGGGTAGAGAGAGGAGTGACCAGCAGGGAAGGAGGAGAGCCTGTATATAAAGGATGCTGACTATGAGGCTGGGAGAAGGAAGGTCTTAGGGAAGCCGTGATCAGCAGTGTGGGTGCCAGACACGCAAGCATGAGGCTGAGACAGGTTTGGTGATTCAGTAGAGCACAGTTTCAACAGGGTGAAGTCAGACACCTGAGCCTGGGACATTAAGGGGAAGGCGTAAGTCCCCTTGGGTGGATGGGATGACTAGGAAGCAGAAGGAGCAAGATTCTGTATCAAAAAGGCAAGACTAGTTGGTGAGGAAGAGGGCTATTTAAGCATAAGGTGGAAAACCCAAGCCTGTGTGAAGGAGGAGAGATTGGAGATGCCGGTGGAGGAGGAGAACGTCAGGATAGGGGAAGGGAGAGAACAGAGGAACCACTCTTTAGGGCTCTGTGCTTCTGCCTCTGTTACTGTAGTTCATTATGCTCTATTTCTTCTGTACAGTCGTGCGTCACTTAATGACGGGGACTTGTTCTGAGAAACGCGTCGGTAGGTGATGTCGTCATTGTGTGAACATCATAGAGTGTGCTTACACAAATCTGGATGGTATAGCCTACTACACACCTAGGCTCTATGGTACTAATCTTGTGGGACCATTGTCATATATGCGGTCTGTTGTTGACCAAAACGTTATGTGGCACGTGTCTGTACTTTATTCATTGTCCCAACAAATATTTTCAGCACCTTCTATGCGCAAGGCATTATGTTTTGTTTACAACACGTTATGTTTTGTAATGTCTGTCTCTCTTAATAGTTGTAACAATCCTTGAAGACGGGATCCATGGAACGGCAGAGGCTAGGGTGAGAATATAGTTTTTTTACTCACTGGCTCTGTGACATTGGACCAGTCACATAGGTTGCTGAGCTTCAGTTTTGTTTTTTTAATTAAATGAAGATAGTATTTCCCACTTTGTAGGGTTATAATGATCAAATAAAATAAGGCATGTAAAGCCTTTTCACAGGACCAAGTCCATAGTAAGTAATTGTATTAGTTAGAATTAGGTTTGGCTTCAAGTTACAGAAGAACTCCAAATAGTGGCTAAAACAAGATGCAAATCTATTTCTCTCATTTAAAAGGGGTCCAATAGATATGGCAGTTCACAATGTCAGGGACCCAAGTTCCTTTTATTTTATTGCTCCATAATCCTCAGCCTATGAGTTAGTCTCATGGCCCAAGATGGCTGCTCAAGCTCCAGCCATGAGGTTCACATTCCAGCCAGTAGGAAGAAAGACGCATCCAAAGAAATGCATTCCTCCTGGAAGTCACAAGTAAGTCTTTCATTTTCATCTGATTGGCCAGAACTTAACACCATAGCCACACCTAGCTGTGACATTAACAAGGCAAAAATAATTTAGGGGTAATATTAAATTCGTATAGAGTGTTCAAGATTAAGTCTACAGCGTATATATTTCAGAAATATTTAAGGACATCCTTGTTTAATAAAGACATCCTTATCAGGTGAATTATAGTAAAGGTTTTTAAAGTCAGAAGAAACTTGGTAATTATGTGTTAGCAATTACATTGCTAAATACATCCACTTTTTGTTGGATAAGGTAATATCAAGAAGCTCAGCATGCTTTCTGTTAATAAAGTGATTCTCAAAGTTCGGTCTGTAGAAAAAAATGACGGCCTTAAAACACGTCTGTGCTGTTAGACGTCAGGACAGGGCTACCCTTGAGGAAGTAGGGTACGACTGAGCAGGGGCTCAAGGGGGCTTCTGGGGAGCTGGCAATGATCTGTTTCTTGATCTGGGTGCTGGTTACGTGGGTGTGCTCAGTGCGTGAACTCCTTGAGCTGTACACTTAGAGTCTGTGCACTCTTTGCTATCTCTGTTATACTTCAATAAGCTTTTCAAAATGGTGGGCATGTACATCTGCCAGTTTACAGGATGTACAGAGCTTAGACAACCGTGTCAAGCACTCCAGGGATGCAACTGGCTATCCAGAATGGGAAATTCTATAGAACAAATAGCCTGGTTTCTTCAGCACATTAAGAACATGGAAAATAAAAGAGGGAGAAGAAGCGCTTATTGTTTAGAAGTCACTGAAGAGCCATATCAATCAAAACATTGTTTGGATCCTGATTTAAACAAACCAACTATGAAAAGATATTTGTGAGATAATCAGGGAAGTTTGAACACTGACTAGGTTTTAGATGATATTAAGGTATTCCTTTTATTGGTGTGTTCCTTTTCTTTAAATGTTATCATAGTTGTATAGTTACGTTATTTTTAGGAGTCATGTCTTAAAGAGATATGTAATGAAGTGTTTACGGATGAAATGACAAGGTGTCTACGATTTGCTTTAAAATAACCCATTTGGGGTAGGCATGGGGGCCAAAGGGAGCAGGAGATGGATCAAGATTGACCTTATGTTGATAACTGTTGAAACTGGATAATGAGTAAATGGTGTTAATTATACAATTTTCTTTACTTTCTTATATGATTAAAATTTTAAATATTAAGTTTTTTGGTTTTTCTTTTTAGTGATGGCCATAACAAGAACAAAAGGTGACAAAGGCCCGTGTGCAGTGTTGCTTGTAGGTGGGCTAAGACTCCTTTGGGACATCAGTTACTGCTTATCTCCCTAAGAGAGCACATCAGTTAGGAGCACTGGATTTGACGTTGGGCAGAGCAAAGCTCCATCTGCAGCCCTGTCTCCCTCCGTGTGTGAATTAGGTCCATCCTCTAGCCCCTGTGAGGCTTGGATACCATCTTTGTGACAGGGACACTCATAGGAGTACTCACGGAGGAGTCCTGTGGGCGAAAGGAGATGCCTACCTCCGTGCCTGGCTCAGTAAATGACGGCTCGTACGTGCAACCCCATACCATGAAAACTGCGGGGTCCAAAGCAGCACAAGCACTTGAAGCCAGCGAGTTTGCAGCTGGGAGACCTGGAGCAGTCCCGCTTAGACAAGGCAGTCCGGCAGCTCTTTGCAGGGGTCCCTGTGCGGGGAGGGAGGAGCCTCGTTTGCACACGCAGCTGGAGCTGTGCCGTGAAGGAGCAGGGTCAGTTGCTGCTGAAGAACAGTTTTCTTGTGAGTCCAGAGCCCTGATCCTCACACTTGTCTGGGAGCAGAGCTCCCACAATTCAAAATGCTCTTGGCAGAGCTCTGTGAAATGTTTCAACAGATGATTCTGTCATTGAAGCTAGAAACGCTTTTACTAGTGGAGAATGTGAGCATAAGACGTGTATAGACTTCAACATCTCAAGACATGGTAACATAGAAAATATTATCAAGGAATTACATCCAAGTTGTTCTGTTAGAAAACGTGAGCGTAACAAGGACAAATGCAGTTTGCTGCTTGCTCTTTGTCTCTCCACTGCAAGCAGAAGCTGGCTCCAAAGGGTTAAGAAAAAGTTGTGGCAGAAGATCCCAGAAGTAAGAATGTTGTGTCAACACATTTTTTCTTTTGACTTGGGAAGACACCCCCCTTGTTGGAATAACCACTGGTTTAGGCCAAGTATTCAATGCTAGTTTTTTCATACCAGTCTTTCTCCATCTATCCTACAGCAGCAGAGAAGTATATGACAGCATCTTAATTCACTCCAATATATATTCATTGCTATTTTGTCTACCTTGAACGCCTGTAACCTGCTTCTTCAAGTAAATGTCTGCTCACATTTCAAAGTCAGCTGGTGTATTACCCAGTTCAGCATTCTCATTGTGTACCCCAAGCTTATCTGAATGCACTCCGTTGAAAACCTTCTCCTATAATAACACTAGCAGCAGCAGCTGACATTTACGGAGCACCTCCTGTGTACCTGGCACTGTGCTAAGCGCTTGACCTTTGGTAACTCAGTACCCTAGATTCCATTAGTTCCATGTTGAGATGAGTACACTGGCATGGAGAGGTTAAGTAATTTGCCCAAGGTCACACAGCAAGTGGCAGAGCCCAACTTGAATTTAGCTTGCCCTCAAAGCTTACACTTCTGCTTTCTCAGATCATGAATTTCCTCACCTGTCTTCCTAATTTGAGTACAGTAGTCCCCCCTTATCCTCAGGGAATATGTTCCAAGACCCCCAGTGAATGCCTGAAATGGCAGATGGTACTGAACCCTATATATGCTATGTTTTCTTTTATACATACATACCTATGATAAAGTTTAATTTATAAATTAGGCACAGTAAGAGATTAACAACAATAACCAATAATAAAATAGAACAATTATAGCAATATACTATAATAAAAGTTACTGTAGATCCTAGCAACCTCAGCATATGATTTTTTTTCTTTCCCTATTAAGTTGAGAACTTGCACCTTTTCACTTAAAGGAAACACTTTACATCTCTTTGGCATATCCAAATTGCCAGCGTCACTGCTCTTGTGCTTTGGGGCCATTATTAAGTAAAATAAGGGCTGCTTGAATATAAGCACTGTGATACTGCGACAGTCAATCTGTTGACTGAGACGGCTACTAAGTGGCTAATGGGCAGGTAGCTGGACAAAGGGATGATTCATGTGCTAGGCAGGATAGAGCAGGACGGCTCGAGATTTCTTCACGCTACTCATGACAGCATACAACTTAAGACTTATGAATTGTTTATTTTTGGAATTTTCCATTCAGTATTTTCAGACCCAGGTTGACGGCAGGTAACTGAAACTGCAGACTGCAAAACCGCAGATCGGGGGGACTACTGTATCTGTTCCTTGAGTTCAGGGACCACATCTTATTCCTCTCTGTGTCCCCAGGGCTGATATGACCCCTGGCACACAGGAAGACCTCAGTGACTGAGTTGCTGCTGTGTAGTTAGCTCTCTGCTTCAGTGAGTTGCTCTTGACAGATGTAGTGAATGAATTTGTAAATATTTGCCATTCTTTACATATAGAGATAGGAGTGAAAAGACCACACTGACTCTTGAGTCTTTTTCCATGTGTGTCTTTGTGATTTCCCCACAGGGAGGTGAAGAATATCGATCAAAGAGCAGCAGATAAAAAAAAGGCAAACCATATGTTCATCCAACCTTTAAACTTCATGGAGGAATCCCCTGGTAAGAAATCTAGATGAACCCATCAGAGGGAGATTGCGTTTCTTGCAAGGTTTGTTTGAACAAAGACTATAGGGAAAGTAGAAATGTGAACACTGTAAGAATTCTTAATACAGGGAAAAGAATATGTAAAAGTTCACCCGCTTTTCTGTGTTAGTCACTCAACTCTCATTTTACTTTTATTATTAATGGTAGTAGTAAGAGCTACCAATGATTTTGTACTTCCTCTGTGCCAAGCATTTATGCTTTTGAACTGTATGAGTCAGAGTTCTTTGGTTGCAGGTGCCAGGGAACCAGCTCAAACTAGCTTGAGCAGGAGGAAAAGCTAGTGGCTTCAGTAACTAGGAAGGCCACAGACATGCTGGCTGCAGGCATGTTAGACCTAAAGGCTCAGTGATGTCTTCAGGTTTTCTCTCTCTCTCTCTTCCCTCTTTCCCTCTGTGTGCTGGCGTGTTTTTCAAGCTGCCTCTGCCCTCAGAGAAAGAAAGAGGGCCACAGACAGCCCCAAGCCCATGTCCTTATAGTGCATGACCTAAGAGGAGAGAGAGACCCTCTTCCGGCCTCCATAAACCAAGCCTCATAAAAGTCTCTGATGGCTCTGCTTGGGTCACGGCCTCCCCCCCCATCCTCTCTGGACCAACAATGTGTTCAGGAAGAAGCAGTGCTGTGATTATCTATGAGTGTCCCTGTGGCCTTAGAGAGCAGGGCACAGTCAATGATGTGGGGTAGAATGGGTGAGATGCCATCAGACAAAGACAACATGGCCACTTTATTTTATTTATATCTCATCAAAACTCTGTTAGATAACATCACTCCCATTTTACTCAATAGAAAACTGAGGCACAGAGATGCCAAGTAAACATGGACTGAAGACCTACTATGCCAGGCACTAAGGATACAAAGAAAGAAAGAAAGTTCCTGCCCTCAAGGGCTCACAGTAGGGCCGGGCCCGTGGCTTAGCGGTTAAGTGCATGCGCTCTGCTACTGGCGGCCCGGGTTCGGATCCCGGGCGCGCACCGACGCACCAATTCTCCGGCCATGCTGAGGCTGCATCCAACATATAGCAACTAGAAGGATGTGCAACTATGACATACAACTATCTACCGGGGCTTTGGAGGAAAAATAAATAAATAAATAAAATTATTAAAAAAAAAAAGGGCTCACAGAAAATAGATAACATGCAACAAGTTGCATGGGTCCTAAGAGAGGACTTCAAAAGGGAACAGAGTAAGAAGTGGTCACTTCTTTTTGTGTGCTAGGCAAGGGGTAGGGGAAGAATGGGCTGGCACTCTAAGCAGAGAGCAGCTCAAGCCAATTTGCAGAACTAGAAGTTACCAGCCCTCCATTGGGTCCGGCTGGTCAGGGAGTGAGGGAGAGTTGAGGAGGGTATGGAGGGGCATCAGGGGGTCTCACATGCCACACCTTCTGGATTCTGCTGTCCTATAGCCATAGGCAGCCATCCAAGAGTCTACTCTACAGAAATTACAATTTTCAACTCTGGAATTTACATCCACTATTCTTTTTTTTTATGTCACTGATTTTTTTTTTCTTTTTTTTGTGAGGAAGATCAGCCCTGAGCTAACATCCATGCTAATCCTCCTCTTTTTGCTGAGGAAGACCGGCTCTGAGCTAACATCTATTGCCAATCCTCTTCCTTTTTTTTTCCCCAAAGCCCCGGTAGATAGTTGTACATCATAGTTGCACATCCTTCTAATTGCTGTATGTGGGACGCAGCCTCAGCATGGCAGGACAAGCGGTGCGTCGGTGCACGCCTGGGATCTGAACCCGGGCCGCCAGTAGCAGAGCGTGCGCACTTAACCGCTAAGCCAGCTAAGCCATGGGGCCGGCCCCTACATCCACTATTCTAAATTATTATATGCTTACATATGTATTTCTTGATTTTTTTCATTTTAGACATTATCTGTTGATGATTTTTTTCCAGATTGCTAAGAGCTATCAAAAACTAAGCAGCATTATTTTACATATTCTCAAATATATCATATATATTCTATGTACATTCTATTAATATATTCTGTTAGATAATGTGATCATAACAAGGACAAATGCAGTTTACTGCTTGTTCTTTGTCTCTCCATTGCAAGCAGATGCAGACTCCAAAGGGTTAAGAAAAAGTTGTGGCAGAAGATCCTGAAAGTGAGAATATACTCTGTTAATTTCTTCTTGTGTTTTTACTCTTGGGGTTCTCCTTCTCAGGCCCTCATCCTCCTCTAATCTGGAATGGTGTGCTCTAGGTCCTCTCGCAGTTATCATCTTGGGGCTTTTTTCACCATCATCCTAGGACTTCCCTTTGTCAACTTTACTTTGTTGGAGTCTCTATTTCCCAGATCCTTTGTCTTTCTCTTTCTTGTTTTACTTCCTCATTTTGCTGGAGCACATCTTCTAGTAGCTCTTGAAGAAAATGTACACGGGAAGTTTTTTCAGTCTTTACATGTCCAAAATGACTTTGCTCTTGATTAGTATTTGATAAGTGTTTTGCTGGGAATAAAATAAGTCAATTTGCCACAGAATTCTGAAAAAAAAATTTTTTTCCTACCTTCTAGTTTTGCCGTTGAAAAGTCTGATGCCATTCTGATTCCTATGGGCCTTGTACGTCATCTTTTTTTTTCCTATGGAAGGTTTTAGGATGTTGTCTTGATCCCTAGTATTCTGAAGTTTCACGATTATGTGCCTTAGCATAAGTCTTTTCTTAATATGTTTCACTGGGCTTGGGAAGCTCTGTCAGACTGGAGAATAGTGTCCTTCAATTTTGAGAATTTTTCTTTTATTATTTCTTTGATAATTTCCTCTGCTTCATTTTCCTAGCTCTGTTTTTCTGAAACCATTATACTTAGTTGTTGGACCTCCTGGACTGATTCTCTAATTTTCTTAACTTTATTCTCTTGTTGGCATCTGTATGAATTTCTGTCCTGCTTTCTAGGAGAGTCTCTACATTTTATCTTCCAACACTTCTTTTAATTTTAAAAATTCTACTATAATATTGTTATTTCCTAGAGTGAGCTCGTTCTTATATTTTGGTTGTTCCTTTTTCATAGCATCCTCTTCTTTTTCATGAATGCAATATTTTCTTCTATTACTTAGAATATTAATCTTTATTTTTTGTTTCTTTTGACCCCCATAGTATTTCTGTGGGTACCTTTCTTGGGTACCTTTTTATGTTTTTTGTTTATTTTCTTGTTTTGAACTCTCTCTCATCTTTGAGGTTTTCCTTAAATTATTGATGATCCTGGGCTGTCTTTATATGTAAGAGTGAACCTCTAAAAATCTGACAATGGAAGTTAGTGTCAGTGGGCATGGCTTCTCAATTGGTGGACTCTCTCTTTTTTTGGAGAAAGGGAAGCAAGCCAGCATTCTCACTGAGAGACCCCTAAATATTAACATCTACATATCTTTTCTCAGAAGCCATTCGGTTTCTTAGGAGAATAATCCTCCAGTCATTTGCCTGCGGGGCATATGCCTGGCTAACGGCATTCTGGAAACCTCTTTATTTTAACCTCAGTCTTGATTACTAAACTTCAGTCTCTTTATTTTCTACTAGTGTAGTATCCCTAAGCCTGAAGCTCTTTATTTCAATTTCTCCAGAAAACAAGAGCAAAAGCAAAACAAAACCTTCCAATTTTCATTTACTTCTCAGAACAGCTCTTTGAGGTAATATGTAAATTAGGATTTTATTTAGTTGTATATAACAGAAAAATAAAAAATAACAGTGGCACCAAGGTTGATTCTCACATATAAAAGAAGTCTGGAGGTAGACAGTGTAGGCTGACATGGTGCTCCAGGGGCTTCAGGGATCCAGGATCCACCCTCCTAGCCTTGGCATTCTTCCTCAGGGACCCTGATGATCCATCCAGATGGCTGCTCGAGTTCCAGGCGTACTGTCTGTTTTCCAGACCAGCAACTGGAAGAAGGGAGGGAAAAAGAGGGCTAACCCATTCTCAATCTCTCTCTTTTTTATTATGTATTTTTAGAGGAGTTTTAGGTTCACAGCAAAATTAAGAGGAAGGTACAGATGTTTCCCATGTACCCCTTTCCCCAGCACATGCAGAGCCTCCCCTGTTATCAACATCCCCCACCAGAGTGGTACATTTGTTAGAGTTGATAAACCTACATTGACACATTATAATCACTTCAAGTCCATAGTTTACATTAGAGTTCACTCTTGGTGTTGTATAATCTATGAGTTTAGGATAAATGTATAATGACATGTATCTGTCATCATAGTATCATACAGCATATTTTCACTGCCCTAAAAATCCTCTGTGCTACTCTTATTCATCCCTACCTCCATCAAATCTGTGACAACCACTGATCTGTTTATTGTCTCCATAGTTTTGCGTTTTCCAGAATGTCATACAGCTGGAATTCTACAGTATGTAGCTTTTTCAGATTGGGTTTTTTCCATTAGTAATATACATTTAAGGTTCCTCCATGTCTTTTCAGGGCTTGATAGCCTATTTCTTATTAGTGCTAAATGATATTCCATTGTCTGGATGTATCACAGTTTATTTATTCATTCACCTACTGAAGGACATCTTGGTTGCTTCTAAGTGTTGGCGGTTATGAATAAAGCTGCTATAAGTATCCATGTGCAGGTTTTTGTATGGACATATGTTTTCAACTCTTTGGATAAATGCCAAGGAGTGTGATTCTGGATCCTTTGGCAAGAGTGTGTTTACTTTTGTAAGAAACCTCCAAACTGTCTTCTAAAGTAGATGTACCATTTTGCATTTCCACCAGCAATGAACGGGAGTTCCTGTTGCTTCACATTTGGTGTTGTCAGTGTTCCGGATTTTGGCCATTCTAATAGGCGTGTAGTGGTGTCTCATTGTTGTTTTAATTTGCATGTCTCTGATGACATATGATGTGGAGCATCTTTTCATATGCTTATTTGCAATCTGTATATCATCTTTGGTGAGGTGTCTGTTAAAGTCTTTGGCCCATTTTTTAATCAAGTAGTTTGTTTTCTTATTGTTGAGTTTTGAGAGTTCTTTGTATATTTTGG